ATGCATATGGACATATTTAAACGAGGAGAAAAAAAATACTAAAATACCACCTCAAAAGAAGTTTTGTGTAATCTACAAGCAACTATATAAGTTTATTTGGAAGCAGTCCACAATCTTGAAAAAGGCTTATATATTATCATGGTCAACTTAAAGTTCCACCAGAGGGGACAATCTCCAATCATTTATTTACTTTATAATTTTTGTTAAATATTCTTCTTTTTATAGCATATAACAATTATTTTGAGATCCAACTATAGTGTCTAAAGTGCTCAAGAAAAAGATTGGATAAGCTTATTTAGCCTCCGTTGGTGAAATTAAAATCAAATTTTAGTAAATTTTGACGAAAACTCGATGAAGTGTATAGTTAAATTTTTTTGTTGATTTTGACTTAACTTTTTATTCTATTTCAAATCTTAGGAATGATTCAATAATCTGTATAAATCACAAATCATCATTGAATGACTTAACTCAACATCTTGTGCAAACGCTGCAATATTGAGCTACTAGCGTAGACATTTTATTTTTTATTTTATCGAAATATGAACGAATTACAATTTTATTTTATTTAAAAAAAAAGTTTAATGCAAATAATCCAAAGTAGAATTGTTTGAACTACAAAGAAAATTTGAAAATCAAATAATCCAAGTCATATTACCAACTAGACAAGACTGTGCATGGATGCATGGGATAACTAGCTTAAGCCAAAACAAGAAATAGTCAACACAGAAAAAAAATATACCTATTCGCTTATCCAAGAACCTCACTCCCTTTCTTACACAAATTTTACCAAAATACAAAGGCAAATGGCAGTGCTCAGAGAAAGAAGAAGTCCCCCCAATCTGCTAAGAAAATTTTCGAGCTTTACAATTCAAAAACCTTAACAAAATCAGAGCAGAAACAGTGAATCTTCGAGAACAAAGAAATCCCATAAGACAAATTTGTCCCATTTTGCAGTTTTTTGGGGATTTTGGTGGATCAATTTTGAATGTTGATCAGTGTCAAGAAAGGATACGAAATGTCCATTCTTTCGTACGAGAGCCATATCAGTAATCAGCTGCATTAAATGCTCACCAAATCCCATTTCTTCTCTTTCTTCCCCTATAGGCTATGTACAAATGAGGATTTTCCAAATGAAATGAATCAATTTGTCGAAACAATAGGATTTAATAATTTGCGCAAGTCCATTTTAGATCGTATAGTGGGTCGTGTTGAGTTGAATCGATTCGCGTTTTGGTAGTCATTGGGGTTGGCATGTTACGATGAAAACATTTATGGCCGAAGATTAAATTTGAATAAAAAAATAATCAATTTAAAATATTTTTATTAATGTATTATTTGATATTCATTATTTTCAAAATACATTATTTTCTTATTTTCATTCACACATTCTTTAATAAAATAAATTACAAAAAAATCTGAAATTTTTTTCTTATTTTTTAACCACATATTTTTCATCAAATCATTATTTCAAAATATATTTTTTTGAAATAAATTTCTTTATTTATATAACTTATATTTTCAGCGTGTCACCCAGTGCAATCTGAATTATTTACATTATAAGAAATTTGATATCTATTGAATTTTCATAAATAGCTAACAACGAGACCAAAATTCAATATCGTTAACTAATGTAACATAACATGTTTTCAACATTCAAAAAGCCTAACATTTTTTTTCCTAGATCGACACTATCTACCCCTACACAATCCAACTCCACAACTTCCTTTATGCCTTGACTTTTATTCCTGCATTATTCATTAAGGAAAAATATTTTTTAATAAGATATTTTTGCAGAGTAACTACAAGGCTCATGACATGCCCTAGAATGAAGAAAATATAAGTCACAGTTTGAATTCCTTTAAATAATTTTTTTTTTTCAAATTTATTTCCAACTCCACATTTATGCAATAAAAAATATATATTTTTTAATGTAAATTCAATTTTTTTTTTAATCTTTTAACCTTACATCTTTCATAAAATCATAAAAACTCATTAAAACGGAATTTTGAAAAGGTGCAAGTATCATATCTTAGGGATACCCCAGAAATCTCCGCCGTCAAAAAAATCTTGATTTGTTCCAGCGCATTTAATGAAAGGCTATAATTTGATATTCTAAATTCCTGTTTTCATCATTACAGACAGCCCTTTTGTACCAAATACGTAAACACAAGGATTAAGCTCGACGTACAGAAACTGGTTCACAGAAATTTTACAAAAATTCAAAAGGCCACCACGGAAAAGCAAAGGACTGCTGGCTTTTGGAGAAACTTATTCATAAATTCATTATATTACTTATTTTTTTGTCCAAACTTTCGGGCTCACTATGAAATATTACATTCTTAATATTATTTTGAAGTATTCACTGTCTAATATTTTACTTCGTTAATGGTGTACGAAATAGATTATTGTAGCAAATGTTACGACGTGTCAAAATAGACCGTTTCAAACTAATATTTCGAGAATTTCGATAACAAGCTAATTTTAAAAATTCTTCAACGATTGTACGCTAGTCGAATCCATAAATCTTCTATATCCTCTCGAAGCTTATTTCGATAACTATATCATAGACATATTAAATGATTTAAATGAATATCGAAAATAGTTAAAAGTACGTCAAACGTGTATTAAAAAGAAACGTATAACTCGTCTTTTTTTTATAATTTACCTCATTTTATTAGGAAATTTTTTTTGTGGTATGACGTCAATTTTTTTTTTTTACATAAAAATTCCAAATAAAAATTTTATTACTTTATATGGGTTATAAATTGTTATACTACTTGATTATTTTTAAATCCGAAAAAATTTTATATATATAAAAAAAGAATCGATCATTTTTGGGAATTTTTTTTTATTATTGTTACTTTATTAAATTTTTATTATTGTTACGTCAAAAAATTTATTAGGAAAAATTTTTAGATTTAGAAATTTGTCAGGCAAAAATAAAAAACATTAATAAAATAATTGATTTTTTTTTTAAAAGACGAATTATACGTTTCTTTTTAATACAGGTTTGACGTACTTTTAACTATTTTCGATATTCATTTAAATCATTCGATATGTCTATGATATAGTTCTCGAAGTAAGTTTCGAGAGGATATAGAAGATTTATGGATTCGGCTAGTGTACAATTGTTGAAGAATTTTTAAAGTTAGTTTGTTATTGAAATTCTCGAAATATTAGTTTGGAACGGCCTATTTTGACATGTCGTAACATTTGCTACAATAATCCATTTCACACACCATTAACGACGTAAAATACTAGTTTGTGAATATTTCAAAATGGTATTAAGAATGTAATATTTCGACTTCGTTTGATATTCCATAGTGCGCCCGAAAGTTTGTACAAAAACATAAGTAATTTAATGAATTTATGAATAATTTTCTCCAAAAGCCAACAGTCCTTTCCTTTTCCTTTCAGCTACACGTGGTGGCCTTTTGAATTTCTGTAGAGTTTCTGTGAACCCGTTTATGTACGTCTAGCTTAATCCCTCCATAACCCATACAATTTTTGTCATGACTTCTCGACCTAAGAGGAGGCAAAATACGAAAGAGAGCATAAGGCTGTGTGTGATAGGAGGAAAATAATTTCTTCCTTTTTGAAGGAGACCAATGTTTCCTTCAGTAATACTCGAACATTAATTTCAATCATATATTTATAATTATTACGTATTATTATCTACACATATCATAAGATTCTCTACCCCTTTTTTTATAAACGAGTTATAAATTTGCCAAAAGGAGATTAAGATGTATATTTGTCCATCGAAACATCCAACATATAGTGCTCGACATTCTATCTCATCCACTTAAGCCCCCATTTGTTATATATTAAAATCAGATTTTTAGTAAATTTTGATAAAAATTGATGGAATGTGTAGTTGAAAAGTTGTGGATCCCATGAAATGTGTGATTAAAATTAATCGTTGACTTTAATTTGAAATTAAAATCAGATTTTAATCTTTACCAAACAGGGGCTAAATATCATTATAGTTGATCTCGATTTTAGCTCTTTTAACGTGGCCAACAGATCATGGGTCCACTTGCATCCACATAAATCTTTCGCCGGCACACTTGGACAAACGGTAGTCACCCGTGGTCTTTTTGGTGGTGGGAGAGGCATTCACGAGCACTTCAATGATCAAGTCAGTTGACGAGAAGAAAAATATATTAACCATGAGACATGCTAGAGATGTAAGGCATGGAAGTGTTTGAGCACTGAAAATGTGTGTGAATATATGTAAATGATGAAAGCAATCATAGAGAACTTTTGACATCTATAATTGCATTACCTTTGAGTTGGTGTAAGTTGTATACTTCCATAATAGCATGGATGAAGTGGTGGCCACTGAATAAAGAAACATGTGGCTTTATCCTAACGATCGAGGTGTCTCCTCATAAGTTTCACATTCGACATCATATGACATGTCTCGTGTAATGTAATCTGAAAAGTAATCACTCTATTCTTAAGTTTGCGTGCCTATAATGTAGGTTGACAATGCTTGACATTATGCTGCTGCAAGATGTTACATCAATTATATTTATAAGATTTTTGTATAAAATATCTCTTGGGAGAAGTGATTATGAAATATGCTCCTAAATGACTAGGAGGTATCCATGTCAACCATGTAGGCTTCGGCCTATACATGGCGCTTCAAATGAAAGCAATGGGTTGCCTCTCTAGGTGGCTTGTAGGATGATATGCTTCGTTTCGGATGAAAAGTGTGACACTTCAATCGAAACATCTTTACTTCATCATTTAATGACATGGAGTGTGAGCATTTGTACGGCTTTTGAATGTTGACAACTACAATAATTATTCTCTATAATTGAGATGTCGATGAGTATTAAAATATTTCTTTTACTATGTGGTGTACTTATATTTTTTTTAAACAATTTAAATTTAAAATATGAAAATAAGAATAGAGACGAAAATATCTATAAAAAGGACTCTGCAGCTGCTCATTAAAGTTCATTTTGGTTTGTTCTTCTCATTCGACAAACATGACTTCCAAATCTTTGAATCCAAAAGCTAAAGAATGGAAGCCACCGCAATCCCAGCTTTCAGCTCCACTTCAACCGCTGCAACTGGTGACTTGCACTGCAGCTCAACTCCCTGAACAATCATGTTATCACACAACTGTACGCTCGCCGCATCAACCTTTTTATCAGCCTACTTTTATTCCTTTTATGCCATACCATTACGGGTATTTTATCTATAGTCCCACGACTATTTCACTTGATCAAATTCGCGATGTATCCTATGACGAAAATTTGAGGAGTCCCTACATTAAAGGGGGGAAAGTTTTGGAGAGTTGTTGGAGAAGACCAAGAACCCAATTGAAGTGTTTGCCTCCCAGGATTTTAATTGCTAGGAAGTCCTGTAATATGGAAACCAAGAAGAAGAAGAAGTTGGACAGACAACTGAGACAAGAATGGATGTGTAGGAAGAATCACAAAAAATCTGAAAGTGGTCTTGTCGTTTCATCTACCGAAGAAGACTTTTTACTTTCTGGAAAAACTACTGTGATGATCAAGAACATACCTAATCAGTTCAGGTACAGTATATATTTCTTTGAACTTATTTTTTATTTTTGCACAAATCAACCACTATATATTCAAGCTGGATCGCTTTGAACTGCGGAAGGTATAAAATATGGAATACTATCAACATAAGTATAAAAGTGTACGAGTTAAGAGTTGTCGAAAGATGCGAGCTGGTGAGTGGTGAGCCACTTTTTTTCTCCTTCCTCGGAGCAAAGTGACAAGGGCCACCGCCAACCTCCCGGAATATACCTCCACTATCTCAAAAAATATGTAATTGTTGATTTCTTGTTTTATCTTGGAAAGGGTTGCATGTAGAGAAGTTAGAACTTTTATAACCAGTCCAATCCCCTTTCGGAAGGCCTTTTTGCATGCGAAGTTCATAAGGATTATTAGATCTCTGCACTGATTTTTTTCCTTCGTTCACTAGTAATGATTCTTGCACGATTAATTGTTTACCCTGTACCTGATGTGTGACTCTGTAAGTGGAGTTCCACTGTTTGTCTTTCTCTGACCCTTTTTATCTAGCAACTGAATAGGAATGTGAAAGGAAATTTTGGCATTTTTTGTTTACTAATTAATTTAAATTTTTTTGTTTAGTCTGCATTAAACACTTCTTTAATTCAGGATGGATGATTACTTGTCATTAAATGCTCGTAATGGATGTTGGACGCAATTTTGTGAGAATTTACTAAAAGGGGTTATCGACTACATTATTAACCGAAGACACAAAAGCACTAATAAAATCCTGCGAATTCGTAACTATCCTGCTGAACGCTAGTTGTGCTTCATGGCTTTGTTCAAGTCTAATGTTTTTGTTGTAATAAAATCAGGAGAGATGATATGCTCGAGTTTCTTGATCAGCATTGCCAGATGTACACTTTGAAGTATGATTTTTTCTACTTGCCAATGGATTTCAGGTAATTATCTTTCTCAGTGAAACCCGGTATTTTCGAAGCTAAATCATGTTCACAATACTGATCATATGCTATTTTGTTAATCTGAATCTACAGAAGCAAAGACAATCTAGGATATGCCTTTGTTAACTTCACAAATGCTGCTGGTGCTATAAAGATGATGGAGATTCTGCAAAACTACCAGTGGGGAACAATTCAGACTTGTAAAGGGACTTTTGTTTCCAAGAAAACATGTGAAGTTGCTTGGGCTAGAATCCAAGTAAATTCTTTTTCAGGAACCTTCTTTATTCCCTTTTGATTTAGTTGATATCTGCTTTTGTTGTTATTTTGAAACTTGGTTATATGCTTGTTTCCAGGGCCAGAAAGATCTGATGGCAAGATTTCAGCATTCGAATTTCAGTTGTGATCAACTGGATTTCTTGCCTGTGGTTTTCGATCCACCTCGCAATGGCTCTGAACCTAATTCCGTTGAAATTGTCGTCGGTAGATTGCAGCGCACTGTGTTGTGCAAGATGAAATAGTGATGACAATCTCTTTTTCTTAGTGCTTTGGTGGGATGGTCTTATAAGTACACGAGAAAGAACCGTTTAGCCAAATCATGATACCTCAGGACTCCAATCGTTCAAGTTACGACTCGGTGTCATGATTTGAGTAGATAATCCTATCACGTGTATATATCCGTCCAGCTAAAGTTTTCATCTCACTCTTGGCTTTGTTCTCTTTCTAGGGTCAAGAGTCTCTATGGTCTTCGAAAGTAGTCTGTTGTACATTTATGGTTAGGGAGTTGTTTCTTGTATGAATGTTAGTGGACAACTTAGAAATCTGGAGGGATATTTTGAGTAACAGTGGGATTTAGGCAGAAGATGTATCCACCCGTGTTTTCATTCTCTCCCTGCGGTTTATACAAAATCTGGGGTGAAATGGAAACATGGGTTTATGATGTATTTCGTTGCAATTTGAATTAAGGTTTATGTATGATCCTTTATTCCTCGAACTGAAATTAATCCATCGAGTGTGTTAACGTGGTGCACGTGTTAATGTTAATTGAGTTCTGTTACATATGGTCATAAATTACATCATGCATGATATTGAGTGGGGTTTGTTTCGACTCATTTTTGGGAGAAATAGATTTTGCAATGTGGTTAGAAATTATGGAGAAGTTCTTGAATTTACGTTTCTTTAAAATTATTTTACTGGAAGAACGTACAAAAGCGAGTTTTTCTGGGTGATGCCATTTTGCAAGCTAATATTTGTTATTGCATTAAATGCAGTAAATACAAAAATAAATGGTATAAAAATGTAGTTATTTTACGAAAAGAATTCACATGTTCATTGACGATGATTTTTTGTAACTTTTCTAATACTATCTTCCGTAATGTTACTTGTTATTACCATCTCCATGCCTTCTTCTACCTATACTGCAAACATTATTTCAATTTGCCATATAAATTTCATAATGATAACTTATAAAACAAATCAGTTGGAACAACAAATTAATTGTAAATAAAGAAGAAGATGGAAGTGTGAGAATTTATTTTTTAAAATATTCAACCGTCTAGGTAATGTGTTTTATTTTTCTTAATAATAAAATAACGTACAATAAACTTGTAGTAATGAAGCGAGATAGGGTGTCACATTTCTTTAGGCACTTCAGTACACAATTTTCGACAAACACTGCATCACATGTAACGGTTACGAAGAAAGGCCCATAAATCATCTATGCAAGGGAACCAATAATTATCTATGCAAGGGAACCCGAATGTTGGTTGGGCGGAGGGAGCTTCATCTCCGCCGCCTCCGTACCCAAAGCTGCCGCTGCCGTCGCCGTACCCAAAGCTGCCGCCAGTGCCAGTGCCAGTGCCGCTGCCTCCGTACCCAAAACTGCCGCCAGTGCCGCTGCCGCTGCTAGTGCCTCCGTACCCAAAGCTGCCGCTGCCAGTGCCCGTGCCCGTGCCAGTGCCAGTGCCAGTGCTGCCACCAGCAGAAGAGGAGCCACCCCAACCATATCCGAAAGCACCACCACCTTGCTGCCCAGCTTGACTTGATCCTGATCCAAAACCAAAAGTGTTGCCATTGCGGTCTGAGCCAGTACTCCACTGATAACTTCCATCGGGACCCGACTTGCGGCCAGAATGGAAGCGCCACCCATCATTTTGGGCTGAGCCACTACCCATATTATTAGCTTGATCAGCCATGGTTAAGTACAATGTTTTAAGTTTGGACTGGTAACAAAAGGTGGGAGATATAAGAATGAAAAGTAGAATTCTCACGCACCTAACTATAAATCTGTCTATCTTAATTCCCATTTTCTTAACAAATTTGGTGATGAATCTGTTGTTGGGAGGAGGATGTTAAAAGGATATATACTATAATGTTCGAAACGTGCATAATAAATATGTAATTAATTATGCCAATTAATGAACTAGTTTTTAATTGCTATCAATGTTCTGCCGTTTCTTGAAGTTGTGCCTACATGGTTTAGGAGACCCATCAAACTCCATTATTAATGCCGTATCGTCCTACTAGAATTACAACTCCAATTTAGATGCGTTAATATGGAATTAAATAATTCATTTAATTCACCTTTCATTTAGCTTATCATATTTTGTCGCTTAAACTGAAGTTATAATCTGATGCTACATGACATTACTTTCAAACTTCTATATATGTATTCCTTCGATAGGGAGAAGTCATGGGGTAAAATTCACAAGTAAAAAAGAAGTTTCTAGCTACAAGAAGAGTGTGATTTTACATATACACGTTGATTTAGTACTTGAGTAGACCATATAAATTATCTTGAATTTACGGCTTTCCATTGAGGAAGGACTTCCTAATTTGAAAATTGTGGCTGGACGGACTCATTTACTTCGCTCTTAATTGTCAGCATCTCCAATCATTGTGTAAAATTGGGTGTAAATTAGTAACTACAAAATCACATTTGTATCTTCTATTACATCCATGGGAATATAGATTCAAAGTTCGCTCTACTAAAAAGATCTAATTTCAATTTTTGCTTCTTGTGTCACATCGAAAAGCTCAATTTGCATTTCCTTTGCATCTCCGTTGGAGATGTTTTCGATCAATTTGGAGATTTAAATCACAGTTTAGATTTATTTACACACGCTCTTAAAGGTTGCAATAAAGGATACACGATCTAAAAAAAAGCCGGACACAACTCCATTGCAAGGACGAGGTTGCTGCGTTCTATTAGTAAGATGCTAAGCCACTCTATTTGCACCAGCGTAGGAATACACAGAGAATAATATCCATCAAATTTAAAGTTGTTCTTGCCTTGTAAATGTTATGATACAATCAAATATATATTACACACTAAGTAGCAAGTACTCAGTGCAGACTGCCTATGAGCATGAAAAAACCTTCATTTACTCTTGCAGGCCAATCTAGTGCGAGAATTGCAAGCCCCTGCACGAACCTTCAAGACATGGTTTGTGCAGGGTCAGGTAGGCCACTGGACCGGATTTGCACCTCCACGAGCACATACAAAAGCCTAGAGAAATTCACAAAGAAATAATACTATATCAAATTCAAAGTGGATTTTGCCTCTATACGTAATCAATTTTTCGTACTTCGCTCAATCACCAATCCTAGGATGAGAGGACTATTACAAGAACACAATTAGGGTTTCTAATAACCAAACATCTTCTTACACAAGCTTCTATCAAATAATTTGACAGAATTATTGCAACTTCTTACATAAGAAAAGACATAATAATCCATACATATATATCGAAGACTCTAATAAAGTGAATTAACTATAAGTTTGAAGTCCTCAAAACTTATAACCCCATCACCATCTCCATCCATGCTTGCAATAATATCGTGACATTCATCTCGTGAAAGATCAATTCCATTATTCTCAACAACTTCATAGAGGTCCTCTCCTGTCACTAAATCTTCACCTTGAAATTCCAATTCTTCAATGCCCCTTTTAAGAATATCTTTTAGACCACCTATTCCCAAATCCTTAGTATTCATTTCAAGAAATTCAGAAATGCTTAGGAGTCCTTCCCTATTGGTGTTTGCTTCTTGCATCACTGTATTAATATCTTCTTCACTTGGGTTGTAGCCAAGTGATCCCAGGAGCCCCCCGAGCTCTTGAGCATCGATCAATCCATTGTTGTCAGAATCGAATGCACGAAATGCCTCGACGAGGCTCAAGACTTGGCTCAGTGTCTCTATTTCGGCAGAGAGGGAGCTTAATTGAGCCATGGAAAGTAGATTATTTGAGATACGAGTTTAATGTGCTGTGAATTTCTCTTATATGGAGTGGAATTGATGCTGGTCATTTTCAAGTTGTTCTTGGTGTCTTAATAATGTGGAAGCATAGATTCTTGTCCTCGTGGATATACTCTTTTGGTATGCTTGGTAGATACGATAGATTAGATACACTGGATAGAATTAAGAAAGAAAAAGAAAAGAAAAGAAAAGTTGTTTATATTAGTAATTTCTAGTACTGCATATCAAATATTGTAAAGAACGGAGTAGAGTCCTGATTCTATGTTTTAACAAAAAGAAAAATAAAACACTAATTTTGCCCGGTCTACTAGAGCAGATGACTCATTTGATATTAGAATTTACAGAAACAACGTTCTCAAACTTATTGTGCAAGTTTTAATAAGTAAGCCCAGCTGTGGTGAATATATTCCTATAGAAGAATTCTCTATCTTTTGCTTTTGAATTATTCCATAATCCATATTCTGATATTCATCAATGACAGATGCTTTTTTATGTGCATTGTGCAACAAACATCAGTCACAAAAAAAAAAAACAAAAAAAAAACCAAAAAGAGAGAGAGAGAGAGAGAGAGAGAGAGAGTAATGACTAGGACGATATGGGACAGCCAGGTACTCAGAGAAGTCAGGGCCAATTCAGCACGGGCTGTGCAGTGGACCGACCTGCTTGAACACTACAGGCCACGTCGAGCCAAAAAATGAGCCATTTCGAGTAACCTCGAAAGCAAGCAGGTCGACATACCTGTTTTACTAAGCTCTGCGTACACAACTGAATTTTTTGGCGCTGTGACAGAAATTCAAGAAATACGTAAATGCAAATTTTGAGGTCATTTATCAGAACAAATGCTTCAATAAATAGAAACATTCAAAGCCAAACACCACAATCTAACCTTAAATTCCAAAGCCTAATGCAGCAGGCAAGAATTTGCAAGATTTCAAATTAACAACGATAATTTCAAATCAAAGCCATTCTGGTTTCAGATGAACCATATATACATGAAATCATTACAACATTAGAGTCAGACGATTCCTCATACTTGCCCATACTGGGGATTGAATGCAAGAGACTCCCTGTAAATCAGCTCCTTCATCTGTTCTTCGGTCAAAGCACGCTGCTCGAAGTCAAAGCTAAATGGAGTTGGACAAATAGGCTCATCACTGATGTCATGGAGCGAGTTTAGGTACGGATGTGCCAGTGCATCTTGAACTGAAACCAGGCAAAGATTTACATGATTATCAAAATGGATCAAGGAAATGTAACATCCATGATAGAACGGTATTACAAACATAAGTTTGCTTATAAGTAAATAAGTTTGTTTTAAACTTAAAAGATAGAAAAAAAGAAATTATACAAACATGCTTGCAAACAAAAAGTTACCTAAAATAACTTGGTACATTTTTAAACTTAGCCAAACATGCTCAATAATGCTTCTAATCCATCAAAATTGGACACATCATGCGTTTCCAAGCATGCAGGGGATTATGAGACTACCCCGCAAGATTTGACGTCAGCAAAGGTCATAGCTTGAGCCTTTATATTCCTCTTAAATTGAACTCACATTTCTAGTTTGACACAATTTTCAATTAATGAGATAAAATTCTCTTAAACTGGGTCATCTATGGCAAAACTAAAAACTACCCATATGAAATTTCTAGGAAATTTTTTTCTAGCTGTTGAGACTTAAGAGTTATCATGAGTCCGTGGATAAGATGCTAGAAAAGTAAATTTTAAAAAATATCAAGTTATGACAAACCCGTTCGCATCTTAACCCATTATACAGTAGATTTAGTACTACTCTGGTAAGAATATATCAGAGGTACATGTTCATGTGTGAATCGAGTAACTGGATGCAGATATGGGACATTCAACAATGAGGAATTGTAAGAATGCTTGCATGAGCCTAAAAGTCACATTTCTATTGAGCGCATCTGTGGATTTCCTTAATATATAAATCAAGTTGGTCAAACTTTAATTTTAGTCACACATTTCATATGATCCACAACTATTAACCACTTATCAACCACTCATTTCTATCAATTTATAATTTAAGAAACTTACGAACAATCTCAAAAATGCTTTTAGTAAGTCAAGATTTACTTTCTAAGAAAAGTAAGTTTTGTTAATAAAAAAACTAACTTTCAAAATCAAGCTTGACAAAATAAGAAACATACAACAGAAGTTCGTCACCTGTAATCCTTTTTCTAGGATCGAATGTTAACATCTTCTCAATGAGATCAATAGCAAGAGGGTTCACACGCGGAAACTTTTCAGTCAATCTTTGTCGGGCATATCGAGGAAGTTGCCGGATATATATTTTTGCACTTTCATTCAAGAACTCCAACTCAGGCTCAGATGGGGTGCCAATCAGCTACAAGGAAAAGAAGATTGTCAGTCTCATGTATGCATTGTCTAAATTCACAGTTTCACAAAATACATCAAAGAAACTTAAAAAGGAACCAATAAATTGCACCATGTACTGCATTTTTAGAGAAATTAAAAAATAAATCTCATTTAAGCATACTCTAGTGCAAATTTGAATATTATCTTATAAAGATGTTAAAGATGGAAATAAGCAAAAATCTTATTTCCAGAGAAAAAACAATCAACATTCTTGTGGGTATAATAACAAATATACAAGAACTGAAAATGTGTACATGAAGCGAAATTCTATCCTCAAACAAATCCCACATTACATAAACAGAAAATCTAATTCAAATGTTTTCGATGTTCAAAATCTCAATCCTTCAGGTAAATGTAACTTTATACATTATAACCAAACAAAAAACAAATTCTCTTTTCTCAAGACCTTGTTTTCTCAAGACCATTTGTACATAATTATCTTGCTATAATACTAATTATCCTCAGGATTTTGTTTTTTTTCCTTTTTAACTACAAAAAGATGATTAACGTAAAAAATGAAACTTGGACGGCAACAATGAACAAGCACATTCTCGTTTCCCTCCAAAGATTACACTCTAAAAGATAAAATAATTTAAAATACCAAAAGAACAATAAAAATGCTTACAACATCAATAAGATTTTGACATTCAAATGCTATATACACAAAATTAAATATACCTCCATAAGTAGGCGCAACTGATGCACTTGATCTTTACCTGGAAATAATGGCTTCCGACCCATCAATTCCATGTAGATACACCCCACTGACCACACATCAATAGCTGTAGTATAACCAGAAGAATTCAACAATAGCTCTGGTGCCCGATACCACCTCGTAACAACATACTCTGTCATAAAGTCTGTTTCAGAGGTGACACGTGCTAATCCAAAATCGCCTATCTTTAGATCACAATTCGAATTCAGGAGGAGATTGCTAGGCTTCAAGTCTCTATGCAGAACATTTGCAGAATGTACGTACTTCAAACCACGGAGGATTTGATACAAGAAATACTGAACCAACATGGAAAAAAGTTATTTTACCCTTATGATTTTTAATGCAATTAATGAATATACATGTTTACAAAAAATAGAGAATTAGAATATCATAATTTAAGAATGGTGGACTGAAATGGTATATTTTGATTTGCAAAGACTTAAAAATAAGCACAAACCATATTTGCTAACAACTTCAGAATTCAAATCAAGGAATACGTTACTAGTCAATTACAAGTCAAAGAGAAAAGTGTGGCTTAAATGTTAAGGGATAGAATCCCACATCGAATAAAGATGAAAATATAAACTAACTTATAAAGGATTGTGTTACTCCTCTTAATAAGGTTGACATTTTAAGATGAAACCTCAAATCCTAACATGGTATCACAACCCGTTAAGCTCAAACGAGCAATTCGTTCCGATTGGGGGGGGGGGTGGACATGTTAAGGGATAAAATCTCATATCGAATAAAGATGAAAACATAAACCAACTTATAAATAATTGTGTTACCCTCTTAATAAGGTTGGCGTTTTAAGATGGAACTTCAAATCCCAACATTAAATATGCCTTAATACAATTTAACATATTCAAGTGGCCCAGCCAACAATCAAAATTCAATTACCAACAATTGGCAAGGGAATATATTGAATATAATATGCACATTGAGGTTAGAAGTCCACATGAGTTTTTGGTTACGTTTGGTATAGCTTTCATTTTTCTTTTCCTATTCATTCATAAAACAATAAAAGTAGCATACGACATTCGTCAAACTTGCTTGCATGTTTGGTTCTTAAAATTAGTTTCCAAAATTTTAAATATTATTGGAAGAAAAAATTTACCTATTTTTTCTGCTAAATATAAAAATATAGGTAAGACAAATAGCCACATTCATTCCTTCTTATTACCTACTTCTCCTACTCATTCCCTATTGGTTATGAATAAGAGGCTTTGTGCCGTTCCTATAACCATATTTATGTTTATGTGCAATAGGTGTTCCATTAAAGGTTCGACATTTGCTAGTTTCAGAATCGGCAAATATACAACCCAAATTTTGGCCAGAACTTCTGAAATGATGTTCTTGGTACTTAAGGTAGCATCCATACCAAACACTGACCGTGTCATTTATCAATACATCATTCATAAATTGTACATCGTATTGCAAGTCGCCTTGTCAGACACGATGCTATATTCACGAATAATTTCTCACCAAGGCCTTCAATTCTCTTATCCGTTTGAAGTTCTGGTCTTTCGAACTCTCATTTTGTGGCTTTGATTGCTACCTTTCTTTTGACCCATCAACTCAATCCAAGATCCAAGTATGCTTGTTTCTTGAGATGAAATCATTTGTTAACATAACAGATTATTTGGACACACCTTCGCAAATATAATTTTGTGGAAATGTTCACTTGAAATAATTAATTTGTTTCTCACTTTCAAATTTAATAGGGAAAAGGGAGCGACATGACACGGTCACACCGACAAAGTGATTTTTCAAAAAAGTAGGACACGAACAAATGGCAGGTCGGACACTTGTCTGAGAGGTGTCTCTAAAGTATCCATCGAGTGTCAAAAATTTTAAAAACATATAAAAAACTGGACAAAGCATGTGGCTTGTGAGATACATGTCATAGAGTGTCCAAGGAATTTTGTGGTTAGACACAACATGATAAGTGTCACACATGGACATGCTGACCTAATAGAAGTGTCCGTGTTTCATAGTACCTCATCAACTGGTCAGGAACCCAAGAAAGAAAACGTACCATGGTTTTCGTATTAAGAGATAATGAACACATTCAACTAAGAGTTATCTTGTTTAATTCATTTAAATGACATTAAATGAGAAATTATGAAATCCAGTCACATGAAAGCCTTGCTCATATACACAGCAAGCAGAACTTAAAAAAGAATTCTCTGATTCAAAATAATATTCAAATTAGAACCTGGCAATGCTCTTCTAATAAGGCTTGTTTGGAACGGATGATTTGATGCAGATCGGTATCCATAAGCTCATAAGCAATGTAAACATCATTAAATGATGCAGTCTGAGATGGCGGTATTATATCTCGGATTGCAATAATCTGTAACAAATAAATATTTAATGATAAATATTACCAAGAAAAAACTATTTCGGAGTTTAGGTTTCTTTTCATTGGGATTGTATGGTGAATCAAAACAGAATGCCAACTGATTTTGCTTACATTAATAATTGTCAATTGATGTCCAAAATTTAAAAACACAGGATATTAGTAATAACTAACGCGATCCAAAATACAGGAATTCCATTATGAAAGAAACTTAAGAAATATCGAAATACTGCAATATGGCGCTGTAAAAGAATATCTCACTACAAGAACTGTGAAAACCAGATGTCATTAATACAACTACTTCGATACATCTAAAGCACTATGGAAACTTAAGCATTTAATGAACCCCATTGTGGAAAAGCATTCAAACAAGAACTTAAGTTAAAATGAATAGATATTTCAAGAAACACATCTAATCCGCGTCAGAAAATGTAAACAATCACATATTGAAACATTAAACCCCAAGTGAAAAAATTCTATTCTTTAGTTTACACACATTAATTTAGAGTGTGTTTGGGACATATTCTTTTGAAAGAATGTATTATTGAATAGTAGATTGATGGAGAATATGTGGTTAAAAATGAAGGAANTGAGAATGTGTGGTTAAAAATGAAGGAAAAGTTATTGATGTGATGAAAAATATTATTTTATTGAAGAATGTGTGGTTGAAAATGAGTAGAAGAATGAGAATGAAAAAAATAATGTGTGCCAAACAGGGCCTTAGTGTATCTTCTTTTACTTTATTTATTTACCTCTTAGAATGGGTATCAATGGAGTAAACATAGTTAAATGCCATTAATTAACAAAAAGAACTTTTTTATCAATTAAAATTTGAATCTTTGTTTCTTTTTGGAACTAAAAATCAATCTACAAACTAAAAACTTTTAGGGAAGGAGCAATTTTATGATCTTTTTCACAAGAATTTATTTCATTTGACCCCAAATTTTATCGCCAATAAGCAGCAAAAAAATCTTGAGTGCAGAGTCCCATTTGTATCGAACTTTTAGCTTCAAATTTCAAATTTTGGAAACGTGCATGACTACAAACCACCGGCAACTCAAAAAATGCTATCATATTCAAGGACCGATTGAACTACAATATGAAAAGGGCAAAAAAAAAAACTTTCAAATGAAGAAACCTACAGGCTACAGATACGAATTCAAAGAAAAAAAAAATCAAGATAATAACATCTAATTCACTTGAAGAAACATACAAAATCATACATAAAATTCCTCTAGGCCGTAGTTAAAAGTCTAAATATTTTTCCATTAATTAACATAATTGCATTTTCTTTTGAATCATTTTGAGAAATTAAAAAATAAAGCTTTCCTTTACCTACGAACTCCTTAGCTACCAATTGCCTAACATGACAAAATAAGAAAATTCCTTCCTAGAAAATGGAAGACAAAAAACAATTTTTTTCAGTGAGCTTTTAGCCCACCAAAAAAATACATATATAGTCACGCCCGCGCACAAACACAAATTTATTGAATAAATAAGAAACTCCTCACTGACATTTTCATGATCCATATGGCGAAGAAGCTTGATCTCACGTAAAGTCCTCTTCGCATCGATTTTGTTATCAAAAGCATTTGATATCTTCTTTATCGCCACATTTTCATTCGTCTCCGAGTTCAAAGCCGAGCTTTATACACCAAAACAAAAAAATATATCAAAAAACATAACAAAAATTCCAATTTATCAAAAAATCATCACGCGGATGTATGATAACAGAAAGGCGGAAATGATTTAAAACTAACTACCAGACGACGCCATAGGCACCTTTGCCGATTGGCAGGATTGGGGGCTTGTATTTGGAAGTGACCTCGAAGATGTTGCCGAAGATGTTGTATTGGGTGAAACGACCGCCGTGGCTCAGCATCGCCGGGGTGTGCTCGATAGGCGGCTGGGGTTTCTGGCCTGCCTTCTGCGGCGGCGCCTCAGACATTTCGGTGTCCACCGTGTTAGCTCCACCTTCCATTTCTGTGTATTAAGACAATAGTGAAACACGAACTGTCTCTCTCTCTCTCTCTCTCTCTGCATATCTATTTGTAATATAGGATAATTACAGCCTTGCTCCCACATCTTTTAATTTATTTCATATCTTAACCTAATCTGTTATTTTCATAGTACAGGTCCCACATCTTTTATCCCTGTGTAGCGAAATGATATGTTAATTGACCAGAAAAATGATTTTGACAAATTTTAAAAGGATCAACCACAACCAAACACATAGCCAACTTCAACTTATCTTAATTTTGATTACAATTTTATTTCAATTTCAATACGTAATCTGATCAAAATATCAATGTTCATTTCCACGTGTTTAAAAGTTAGAGAATGAAGTAGCTTGACAATTTGAACCAAAACTAAAGCTAAGTTCCACGTGCATTTAATTGACTTTTGTTTGCCATTAAATTAATTTTTTTGTGAAGGAGAATATTCGGATAAACAAATAGAACCGACTTGACAATCGGGACCAACACTAATGTCGAGTTCCACGTGTCTAAGAGAATGAGTTACTAGACTTTTGTTAAAATTAAATTACTAGTTTTTTTCTAACGAGAAAAACTCGTATATTCATAGAAGAATCTTAAATTTATCTATGTGCAATCCTACGTTAATTTGTTCGAAAAACTATTGATTCATTTTCAAGTCATTCATTTTCTCGATCGTGCACGAGAAATCCGTTGCCTTGATCAGACCTTTTTTGGAGCAAGTTGGCCAGTTTTAAGTGTGGAACTATTAATTAGTTTTGACAAAACTAACATCCAATTCCACGTGTTTAAGAGAATGAGCGACTTTACCGTCTCCACCAAAGTTAACATCAAATTTCATGTATTTATGAGAATGAGCGACTTGACTTTTATTTGACATTAAATTAATAGCTTTAAGAAAAAGTCATTTACACATTAATCGTAAATATATCTCGAAAGTGTCATTTGTAAATTTGTTTGTCTAATTACTAAATTAGTGTCTATTCATTCCTTCTATCAACCACGTGGAACTATCATTACCTTTGTCTCATTCATATATGAAAGGGTCAAATTAAAAAATGCTCAATTTAAAATAAATAAAAAATGAGTGACCAACATGAAATAAATTTGTAACTTAAGCGACCTCCAACAAAAAGTTTCCGTTTCAATGTTTTGGACTCTCTGTTTTTGGTTGGGTCCACATCCTTTTTATTTTTTAAATATTCTAGCTTTGAAGAGAAATTCAATTTTATTACGTGGAAATAAATTCTAATTAAATTGTGTTTATGTCCACAATTTGAACAATGTGCATGTTAGCTTAATAAATCGTGCTCGAGTTATGCTGAAAATGTTTACCATTCACTTTTAATACAACGATATAATAAAAATGCTTCGATTTAACTCGTTATTTTTTTAATCGAGTTGAAAATAACTTATTTTCTAATTGTATTAAGTCTAACAATTTGGTACTATGCAATTAGCTTATGAAGTCGAATTGGTACCCTTCTTTTGTTGCCGTATCGAAATGGTATTTTTATTTTTAAATGTTCAGTCAAGTGATTACATTCTTTACCTCTGACGATAATTTACTTACTATCCAAGATCCATTATTCAACTATTTGACTAGATTACGCCAATTATTATTAGAGAAATACTACATTTACAGTCATTAAGGGCTGTAAAATTTATAGCCCTCTCACATGCATGTGGGGCCACTAATTAATTAATTAGTGGCCCCACTTGCATGTGAGAGGACTGTAAATTTTACAGCGTACAAGTGCATTTTCCCTTATTATTTATTATAAGTTCTCAAAAACATTATAAGATTAATAGAACACTACCATAGGTACAGATTTGGTCCATTTTATGTTGTATGTAAAAACTTGCGTTTTTAAGAAGTGATTTGTACTAGGGGCTTCAAATTTGTTTCTTGCATAATGAAATACTTGAAATTTATTGTAGAGTTTCATTTTTCAATGGAGGAACAATGTCGAGAAGAAAATGCAAAACTAGGGCAAGAGTATAAGAGCTCGATCTTCGATTGGAAAGCTAGTTTAGAAATCAAAGTATTATATTAATTTTTTTTTTTGCATATATAAATACATCAGCTTACTAGATAATTATTTAACTCGATGATAATGTAATAAGAAAAAAGTTAGCACTTGCCTTTTTCAGATGAAAGATACATTTTTTAGATGCTTCTACCCTATTTTGATTTGATAGCGACGACTCTTTACAATGATTTCAAAGTTATGACGGAGATTTTCATAATTATATAAAGTTATGACGTCTATTACTACACACTAAACATGACATGGATATTACAAAAGCAGTAACTCGTCAAGAAACTATCTTGCGAAGCAAAAGTAAATAATTATATATGATAAATTATGAGTAGTGAAATGCTGTCATCCTCTTCAGTAAAGGTATGTTATGCAAATTATTTTAAAGATAAGTAGAATAATACCGTAGAGACAGACTTAAAAGCAATAATTTCCATGCAAGTGACTTGATAAAAGGTATACACAGCAAAATTGCAAATTTTTTATGTAATTTTTTAAATTTTGAAATTCAAAAATGATAGCTAAAACCGATTTGATAAATATTGTTTAGTCTTTATTTCAAAATTATGTCATGGATTTAATATTGTGGAAAAAAAAATGTTATTTTTGACTTCTATTAATGTCACTGACGTATGGTTGACAGTAGCAGGTGACGACAACTATTTCCGCTTGATTTTCCTCCACATTTTGTGTGTATTTGAATGAACGCGACAACATTAGATATATATGTATGTATTCAATATTTTTAAATTGTACTTTATGTTTTATTATGAGATTTTTTTTAAAATTCAAGTCCATGATCCTCGTAGTATTATTTTTTCTCATTATTAATAAAATGTGTCACGTAATGTGGTATGAAAAAGTATTATTTAAAAGCATTTTTCAATTAGTACATTTACTGGTATTTTTATTTATGGTTAAAGAAGGTCAAAAACGGTCTACTATAGAGTAACTATAGATATGTAAAACGGGTTGCTCTAGTTCATCCAAATGTTGGCTTGGGACTTGAGCAACGATTGGCACTACCGGCTCATGGCATGGCATAGCCCATGGCTTGTCAGGCATGGACGGTCGTCCTTAAAGTTGGGATGAACTTATCCACCTTGACAACTCTAGCAAACTATAAGCAAAAAGCACAAATAAAATGCATACTTACTGCTTAAAATAGTGAAGAAATCCTTTTAAAAATAAAGTTTGCAATACCCTCGTCTGATCGCTTCGTGCTGCTTTGCTTCCAGGGTAATGGAGTGAGCGTTGTTTCAAGTCGAATGTCATGATATAGTTAGTTCTATTGTATTTCTTTTGATATTTCGCCCGTAGTTTGTGGATATATTCATTAATGCATATATTTTGTTTCGCCTTAAAAAAAGCTATCTATCTATATCTTGGTGATGTTCATATAATCACAAGTTATCTTCATGAAAAAATGCTTGTCTTTTCTCATTTACTTTAAATTTTATATGTATTTATTATGCATAAGAAGTTGAAGTGTTTCTTGAAGGAAATATCTTTTTGCATGGCAATGAAACTTTTGGTGAATTTTATGAAAAAATTTAGATCTTATATGAAACGCTTTTGGCCACTGTTAGTTGTTCGCTATAAAAGTGCAAATAGCAAGTGTACGGATCACGTTCAAGTATTAAAGTGGATTTTTTGAGTCCAAGTTGTCGATCCATCGTTGAATGTTTACTTTCGATTACACAACTTTAATCAATTTAATTTCAACAATAAAAACAAACACACAATACGATCAGATTTCAGAAAATAAGGAAAAAATAAACTAAAACTCTACAAAATAAGAAAACATAAATACTTGAGAGAATTTTGGAGGAAAACGTAGTTATGATTCATGGTTTCGCTTAACCATCGCATAATTAAAAAGAACTGAATAAATCTCACGAATGGTGTAAATGATAAATAATAGTTATGTCTAATTGTGAGTATAATTTTATACTATTGTAATTTCTCTTTCTATTGAAGCTTGTCTCAAAACACTTCCGAGTCTTACTTCTAAATTTATCTCGAGAACTGGATCCATAATAACAATTATATTAGTACGTTTTAACAAAATATTTTGGAAATAATTTTGGTGAAAAGTACTGCTATTATTTAAAAGTAGAAAAAAATTATTAATACAGGTACAAAATTATTTTATTGGAAGAATGTAAAAATGAGTTTCAAAAAATCTACACACCTAAGTTACATACTAAAAGACAATTTTTGCTAAACCCAAATTGCATTCGATGAAACAAATCCCAAAAGGTATTAAACATTATAGTATTTCCACCACAATTTAATCAAGGTACATGAATAAAATGCCCGAAAAACTACTAATCCAAGGCTGTATCCACAGTTCGTAGAGTTTTTAATCAAACAATGACAAAAAACAGGTCCAAGCAACAGCATTTTACACAAGTGTCTCTTCTAATTTTTTTCCGTTCAAGTACATGTTTGGGATACTCTGTCCTCGAACCAAGAAGGATAATACAATAGATGAGATTTTAACTTTCTTTAATACTTCCAATCGACCATGCCAAACATGTCCATAGGTTCTTGGGAATGACAAATTAACCACAATGCCTAAAAAATTTAAACAACATATCGGTAAGTAACATAACGTCCAGCAGTCTCACTTGGTCGGATAATTTTCACGACATGTCCACGCTTCAAACCATAATATCTTGCAATTGGGTCAGTAACCTGAATGCGGGGGAGCTGAAAGCAAAAACTACTACTTGTCAGCATCACAAGATAAAGTGAATGTGTAAAATGCAAGGATACTGACACACCATGATTATAGTGGCGTAGCCAGAATTCTGGGTTTGGGCGAGAAGAAGGCCAAAAAAGAGTTTATGGAATTCTGTAAAAAGGACAAATTATACTAATATAAATTAAAATTTGGGGACTTAAAAAAGATTGAACCCAGAATGTTTACAACCGCAAAGAGAAGGCTTGACCACTAAGCTATACTCACATTCATGTCAATAGCCTTTAGTGTGTATATATATATATACACACACTCAAAAATTCATAAAAATTTCAAATATTTTGCCGGACCAGTCGCCGCTCCCCCACCCCCGTCCACCCATCCACACCTGACCATGAATATAGGACACTGATGGACAATTGAAGCATGTTTCGCTAAGTTTATAGAACAGTGAAAGTTGATTACATACGTTACTTGGATAACTTACTTCTCTCTTAAGAAAAAAGGTTATTTATTCTGAAAGGAATCACTTACGTTACTTTTAAAATAAGCAATTTATTTATTTCCAATTTTGATCAATAATAAATATTTTTTTTGATAAACATTTACAAGCAAACTTTCTAAGCTTAGCCAACATGCTCAAGTTTGCAATAACTAATCCATTATAGAGCATGATTTGCCAAGCTTAAAAAATGTAGAAATTATTATTTGGATAACTTACTTTATGTAAAAAAGTCACTTATTTCAGAGCAAAGTCTTACTTTACTGTCAAAATAAGTAACTTACGGAATATTTGCTCAGGTTTCCAAGTTACTTCTTTTTTACTTTTTCAGGCAGTAAGCCCTGCCCAAATAAGCCAAGTAAAATGCAGCTTAAAAGCTCAGCCAAACATGCCGTATGTTCCACTTTGGCCAAAAAATAAAATAAGTCATTTTAAAGCTTACTCATTTACTTATAAGTAAAATTTTTAAGCTTAGCCAAACATAGTTCAAGCCTAAATTCGCAATGAAAGCTCAAAAGAATTGGATTGGAACCATTCTTGGCTCATTAAAACTAAACAATAAAGATGTTAGAAGAAAGATTGAGAAACTTTCACAAACCTGTGTTTCTTTCACTGTGTATCTTTCTAGCAAAGTCTTCTTTTCTTCCGGAGTAAGTAACTGGTGCTCGGGAACAAGAACGTGCTCTTTTATGTTCACCAACAACTCTGCCTCCTGTATTATTGCAGTAAGCAGACGTCAGTGTGTTTGACATTCACGCCTTCAATATGTGTTTACACAATGATAAGTGAGTTGTTTAAAAACAATAACTTAAATGTGACTTCAGGAATAACTAAAGCAATCGATAGCACAGGTGAAAGGCTTATCAGTTTGACAGTTGAGACCTCCCTATTCGATAAATTCTTTAAACTTATAGAAGGAAGGGAAATTTGCAGCTTCGGTCCCCAACCTATCTGTTTTTATGAGTCATTAGTCCCAATATCTGTCTATTTGACTATTAGAAGGTCAAAATTTCTGTGGAAAAGGCAATTATACCGTTACTTTTAATATAAAAGATGGGGGGAAAAAATTACAATCCACCCACCCACCCGCTGCCTGCAGCTTCCTCATCTTGAGGACCTGCTGGCTCCATTTTCTTCAATCTAATTTGTCGCCTCTCCTCCATCCCCGCACATCTCTTTTCCACCAAAACACCAGATCCAACAAAGAGAAGAATCCCAAGAAGGCTATGACTGATCAATCAAAGTCAAATACTAATCTAAGTGAAATTCTGTATTAATCTACTCAATCCATGCTCACATTTAAGTCAGAAAAAAAATTGCTTTCTTAAATTGTATTCTATCTCTTTTATTCTATTTTATTGAGTGATGAATCCATCCATTATGCTTATTTTACAACATATAAATTGCCTTTCTATTCGTGTAAAATGTAGTACTAGATTCTATTTAGCAGATAGGATTGAACATCCTTTTTTTCCCTTAACTAAAAGTAAGGATATAATGGTCTTTTCAACTGAAAATTAAAACCTTTAACAGTGGACGGAATATTTCTATTGGAGCTAAGGTCACACAAAAATAGTTGAGGACAGTCTTATCCAAAAAATTAGGTGAAGGACTATGTTTTCTACAAACCTATAGGCTATATGTATATTAACTAAAAGAAAATTTGTACATTATAGCTTCATCTCAAAAATAAAAAATAAATAGAATCTTCGAACACTAATAGAAAATCTGAAACCTGTAGTGTGAAGAAAGTATCAATGATAACCTGGAAAACTTCCAAGTGAAATTTTGTAGATATTTCACTTATACAGGTCCGAGCAAAAGGAGTTAAATTCTGCTGAACAACTAAGATTGCTCGATGAACATCATCATCTTTCATGCGATTGGTATAAGTCTTCATTGTCTTAACACCAACCTTCGCCTCCTCAGGAAAGAACACATATATCTGGTGACAAAACAGAAAAGCAAAGGCGAACTAGTAAACAGGTTGCACAAAGCATCTTCTATCACAAGTTTGAAAATACCAAAGAGAAACAAACAACATGAAATCATAAAACTGATTACTCTCAATTTGATCCAAATAAATAATAGTCCTACTAATACACCGATCTCTGTAATGAAGTTTTAAGCAATCAAAGAAGTCCATGAAAAAAAGGGTATCTAAGAAGAAGATATAGAAGAATTTGGCACTTCAATGAAATTCAAGTCTGTTTACAAATGTAAGGGAAAAGAAGTTAAAATCAAATGAACTTTTAATAAACTAAAACATTATGAGAATATTACACATAATCTAATCAAAACAAACATAACTTCAATCAAATTCTACTTTATAATCCTATATAAAATCCTATATTTAGGCCTGTTTGGTCCACATTATTTTTTTCATTCTTATTCTTCTACTCATTTTCAACCACACATTTTTCAATAAAATAATATTTTTCATCATATCAATATTTTTTTCTTTTTTTCAACCACATATTCCCCATCACATCAACAGTAAAAATGCATTATTGCCTTCAAAATGTGCACCAAACGGGGGCTTATTCTTATCTTCAATCCTCATCACCCAGCCAACATATTAAAAGCACAAAACCATTCTTACCAAAAAAGACAACAGCATTTGTTAAATGACTCTTTAAGTGACTTTTGTATAGTTCAATGAACTTTTATCGACTTTTACAGACTTCTTACAAAACCGATATAAGTCTTCATAGACTTCTATACTTTTATTTAAAGATTTTATAGAACTCAGTTGACTTTTACAAACTTCCATTTTAGAGAAAAAAACACACATATAACTTACTATACATCCTTCTGAACAGCCATGACCAAATAACCCACAACGCACAGTAACAAAATTACATTTCTCATGTCAATAAAAATATTTTTCAAAAGAATATAAATAAATAATTCACATGAATTAGAAAAAATAAACAACCAATATAGAAAATAATATATATATATATATATATATAAAACATTTCAACACTCTTTGATGAACAAAAAGAAATCTCTAATGTTCAATTTATCAATATGTTTAAATTTGTAGAAACTAGAAAGTTATTAAATTAAACAAGCAACCACTAGATATAAAAATTTAATTAAAAATTGATCTTCCTTGATAGAAAAATTGGATTTTTTATTTACAAATTGATCTTTTTCATAGAAAAAGAAGACAGTGATGAAAAAGAAAAGACGAAAAAATTTAAGAAAATTAAAAACAGAATGATAACAATGTTGAAGAAAGACAAAAATTCCATGTTTCTAGAGTTTGTAGAATGAAAGAAGAAATAAAAATATTGAAGAATGGAAGAAATATTACAACGAAAATATGTTTTCTTTGTGAAAGCCTTAAAATCTTGGGTGAATGAAAGACATTTATGAGATATTGTATTTGTACCTTTTGCTTAAAATTTAACACCTGAAGGATTTTGTAGAAGCTATTAAAGGTTTCACATTTTCAATCCCCCTGACTTTAAGATTTCTAAAAAGTCTTGATTTAATACCCTAGGTCTTCTAAGGACTTTTAAAAAATCTATAAAAGTCGACATTGAATCCCAAGACTTTAATGAGAATACACAGACTTTTTAAATCTCTAAAAGTCTTCAAAAGTTTAGATTGAATACAACCCAAAAATGACATCCACCCATTTTATGGAGAAAATAATATTGGTACTGCACACTTCTTCTTTCTGTGGCATATTAAATACAACAATTCCTTTCGGCTGAAGAAAGTGGAAGATGGTAGGGATGCACCTGTTTTCCTATAGAAAAACGTTAAGACAGTGTTTGCTGATTTATCCAGTTCCTAACCTTTTTGAAAGTTATTTTGAAATTTGAGGTCCTTCCATTACTCTATTACTGTGAAGTTTACAACTAGTGGAGAAAGGTTCTGAGTATGCTCGATTGTGTCATACAACCAAACTCTGCATTTCCAAAATTAAGAACCCACAGACTATCAACAAATAAGTGCATGATTCCTAATAGGTGTGATACCATAAACCCTCTTAGACAAAGAAGAGACAACAGCCACAAGTTCAAAGTCTTAATATCCTCTCCTGCTTGAGTTGTCTTCTTCAGATATGTGTATCTTTTCATTGAAATATCATGCAAAGTATTCTCTCCCCATTTTACATGACAAGAACACCACATGACTAGGCAAATATACAATTGAAATTGACTAGTTTCAAATACAAAATTCCCTCCTATAATGTATTTTTTAACAAGTTATAACTCATTTAAGTCTCCACTGTCGTCCGTTCACAAACGTCCCAGAAAATTTAGGAGCATGACAACCCAAGAGTTAGTGATTAAAAAATCCAAAAGAGAAAAAATTAAATTAAATTAAAAACAGAGAGAGCAATAAACACCGGAAAAAGGTGCAATACAAGAGGCTTTGTGAATCATACAGATTAAGAAAACAAAGATCACCTATTAGAGAAATCCACTCAAAATTTTATCTGCTTATGTAATTTCACTTGTAATTTGTAATACAACAATACTCCAACCAGGTGAAAGGCAGCTACAGCATGTCCATGGGTCCATCACTGTTCAGAGTTTTAATGAATTAAAGAGCTTATTGACAGTATACCAAATCATATTCATACTAATATGTTCATTTATGCAGCTTAGAACTTAATATTCGAGTTGAAGATAAAATATTTCTAACAAACTAAATTCTTGATGAAAAAGAAATAAAAATATCACATAAAAGTAGACCTTTTCAGAGGGATTGCTGCGCAAGTCTTTGATAATAACAAGGTCCTCTCTCTTCATGTTCTCACCGTACTTGCTAAGGAACTGATGCTTTGACATATCGATCTCAAAATCACTTACTATGTAACCCCTATCCCTTAGCATCTGCATCACCGTCTTCCTGATTCTGAATAGCCGTGTAATTTCCTCATCGGACATAACCATCTTTGCACTGCCAATAAAATAAAACAAAACAAAACAATACTGGGTCATAATTATACAGATTTTCTTCGAATGTAATTAATAATTTGCACTGTATTCACCATTTTTGCACTACTGCCCATTCGCAAAATTAGCAAAATACCAAATGGAATGTTATATTCAAAAATACCCTTTCGAGGTAACTGGGTCATAAAGGATTATGCAAAAATATACACATTACCAGATTCTTTACGCGCACCTGTAGATTCCCCAAGTAGGTGAATGTTGTGCAGACGAGGGAGAAAGATGGTTTCTTTAATTTAGGGTTTAGTATAAAATTCAGCAACCAAACTGAAATATATATAAATGCATAAAAGCGCTCCTTTGTTATTTATTATTGAAGCCCATACTTTGTCCATTCTATAATTTTGGTTCAATTGTTTTAGAAATTTCCAAAAAAGGGAGGAAAGAAATATTTATCTAATCGCAAAGGGCTCCGTCGAGAATTTTTGGGAGTCGGGAGGACTGGGGTAAAAAAAATCCCAATTTACCATCCCGTTTAATTAATCAATTATTTTTAATATGAATTCTAATTTTTAAAATAAGATTTAAATTGAAAACATAAAAACAAACTAACATAAAAAAGAACTGAAGATAGGAAGCTACGTTGGGGGTGGTCGAAATTGAGAATTTTGTCATTCCTATAGGACAAAAGATAAATAACAACTACTATGAAAAAATACATCAAATACCCATATATAAACCCATTGTGGGCTATTGTTATATAAGAAATAAGTAACAAATTGCCAAGGAAAATCTACAATAAATTGTAACCATATTGAATCAATATTTGTCATAGTGCTGAATGCACATTGGATGCTTGCTGCAATCCTTCTATAACTAAATTGAGCTTTTTGTCATCTTATTTCAAGTTGTAATAAGGAACACGAAAATTTGGTAATTAGAAGATCCCTTAACTAATGTAAACGATGTATGGAAATTTCATTTTTGTTCGTCGAACATTAAGTGAAGGGCTCTACTACATGTACATTATGGTGTACATAATTGTGTCTACCATCCTATTGGATAGAGTGTAGGTGGGACCGACACTCCATCCAATAGGGTGGTGCCGAATGGACACCCTTATGTACACCATAATGTACAAGGAGAATAATCCTTAAGTGAAATATCATTTAGGTCACCTAACTTTAGTTTTTCTCAATCACATCACAAAACTTCAATTTACTTTCAATGTTAGTCATTTCGTTAGACCCCTTACCAAATTTAATATTCCAACTTTGGAAATGATTAGAGAGGTTGAGTATGCTGTATTGAATAAGTTATCTTCTATTTTTAAAAAAATAATAATAATAAAAAAGTTCCAACTCCGTAGTCACCAAATCCATAAAATAATATATGCAGATGCATTGAGAAAATGTCATTACTTGCAACTAAATCACAATTTTCACTGTCAGCAGCAGACCCAGTATTGAAGTTCAGCCCAGACGGACGTTGAACGGTAAACGTCAACAGTCAGCGATCGTAAGAACGATATCATTTATTAATATTTAATTAAATAATATTAAAAATTATTCAATATATATGTACACACACTAAAACGTAAAAATTATACATATATGAAAACGTAATTTAATACAACCCAAAATATTAAAGAAATACGCAATACCACCTATTATGTAACTATAATCTTAGACAACTGAATTCTATGGGATCTCATGTTTTTGAAAACGTTGTAATATTGCCTCATTCTCAATTTTTTAAAAAATCTCCTTCCCCATGTACACCACCAAATTCACGAATGTATGTTAACTTCATTTCAATCCTGAAATACATCTAGTTGACTACTTTTATTATGATAGTTGTACAGATTTGAATGTAGTGTCATGAAATAAATTGGTTTCTCTAATCATAATGGGCCCCAATTCCAAATTCTCCCAATTACAATTCCAAATTCAACTCCAAAACCAATTTTAATTTCCCCCCAATTTCAAATCCAATTCCAAATTTTCAATTCCCCCAATTCCAATTCATAAATCATACATGAAAGATGAAAATTCAATTCCAACACTGAAAACTGTAATAAATCATTTTATGCCTATATGCTTTTCAATGGGTTTCGTGGACCGCATATATTGTAGGGGACATTGATTCAGAAACTCGTAATCATAAATAGAAAATAACACCAAAAACAAAAAACAAAAAAAAAACAAAAACAAAAAAAAAAAGGGCAGCAGCCAGAAAGAAAACTCACGGGTTCGGGGTGACTGAGGATTAAGGAAGCTGCCGTGCAGGCGCCAGGCGGATGGTGGTGGTGACTTTTCACCGGAAGGCGGAAGGCGACGGCACAGGCAGGCGGCTGCGGCGGACAGTAGCTCACTGCAAGGAGTCGCGATGTATGGAATTGGAAGTTGGAACCCCTATTTTCAATTTTGGGTTTGATTTCAATGGGGAATTTGGGGAGAAAAGGTTGGGCTGACCTATTTATAATTAAGGATTGGGCCGGAAAACAAATGGCCCAATCCTTAATCACAAAATTTAAAAAATAAAAGGGCTACCCATCTTCAGCTGGCCCAATTACCAAAAAAAGTAGGTTGGGCTGGGCCACAATGGCCCAAATCATAACAAAAAAACAAAAGATGACGGGCGCAGGAAGGAGGAAGATGAACCAGTTACACTTACGCCGTTCCACTCTGGCCATCTTCTAATCTTTTTCGACGGAACCCAGCACGCGTGGCCGCCTCCCGACTAGGTGCTGGGTCCGCCATTGTTCACTGTCATGGACAATGGCCACCTTGAATTGTGCAACTTGAGAAAATTTGGTAAATGTATATACAATTGCAGCCCAAAATAATAATTTTAGAAACATGAAACACTTTAAAAAGAAAATTAGCAAAAGTGAGGGGCTAGGGCAATGTGTCACGAATTTCGAAAAGAAGAAGTAACTTAAAAAATAAGCTACATTAAAATGACGTTCTCGGCATTTTAAAGTTGTTATCAATATTTGAACCTTATTTATCTTGATACTTAATTTGTTTAGAACGAGATTTCATTCCGAACATGAGAGTTCTCTACATTTCATAAAGTTGTTGACATTTGAAATGTAGTTCTTGATATTTAATGTCCGTGTCAATGAGAAATATAGTATTCAGTAATGTTATTCATCCCCAATGGGGTTACAAACACAGTTTAGGTGACTCTAAATGATAGGTTAAATGAAAAGTGAAATTAAATAACTTATTTAATTTATTGTGATTTAATAGCATTATTCTATAGTATTTATTGTGATTTGACATGTGTACTTTCGAAATAAGTATGACCGATTATGTGTTAAAAATTTAGCGGCCATCAAAATTTTTAATTGTATGCACATTTTTGTCTTTAGTGTAGAATTATAAATTGTTAACAATAAATGACCACGTGAAAGTGGGCATTTGTAATTTTCATTATATAAAATTAAGTCAGTCATAGTAGATTGGGTCAGTTTTCAAAACAAAGATGTTGCAAAAACCACCAGAAATCAGCATCATTTGCAGCTTTTTCTTAATTCTCAATTATTTGACTGAATGATTATGCATATTAACTTTTTCTTTTCAGTACTCATTTATTAAATTAGTCGCTTTAGACAGGAAGCCATGAATTTCTGGCAAAGGGACAACAAACCTCAGATCAGGTAAAATGGAGAAATGGACTTAAAATTTGTTTTAGATGATCACGTTTGTCTAAACTTAAAAGTTTATTTATAAGTTAGAAATAAATAATTTTTGTTGTCGATAGAGTTGAAAATAAGTTGAGTTACTTCGACATAACATGAAGATACTTCAAAATAAGTAATTCGATTCGAATGGAGAAATCCCTTAGATCAATGATCTTAAAAATGGATACTTTGGAGGGTGGGGTGGGTTGTGAACTTGAAAAGGAGACATGTCAAGATGGAGAAGTTTTGAGCTCATCACATACATTGCTTTCAAGGTGAACTGAACTAGACAGAAAGCTTAAAAGTAAGCCAAAAAACACTTGTGCTTTTGACACTAAAGTCAAGACCCAGGAATCTAACCGGTCAAGTCTTCACTTTCATCATTCCCCTTCTACTGAAATCATCACTCATTTTACCGCCACCAAAGTCTACAAAAACACTCAAGAAGGCTAAAAAATTTGAAGACTTCTGCACTATTTTAAAGGAAACCTTTCAAATCCTCGTTATATGGTCGTGTGACCATTATGGAAACATGTCGCACTTCAAATTTCTGGATTTCAATCCAAGTTGAGAATTAAAACTTAGTAGTTTCACAAAGTGTATCAGTGTATTTGGAATAGAGATTTGGACTAATGACAGGTTGAGGACTATTGTGCACTTATATAAATATTAGGGATTAAGTTGCTATGGTGACAATAAGTTGGAGGCAAATAGTGCAATTTTCTCACCAAAATATAAATGAATAAAATAAATTTTTTGACTCCATTTGAGTAAAAAGAAGTCTCCAGTCTTGTTCTTTTCATTGCTTTATATTTGTAGGAGACAAAAATGGGGATTTAGTACTGTGCTTGGTGGAAATTTGTTATCTCAGCACAGCTTATTGTAGTCATGTCAGCTTTCTTTTTTCTACTTTGCTTTATCTTATTGGTGTCCATTGGATTCTCATGCTTAATTTTCTTTAAATCGTGTCTTTCTCCATTATCTTTTTTCCTTCAAAGAATTTCTATTTGGGTTCTCAAAAGAAAGAAAATACGCAAAGCGTCATTGATCACGTGGATTAGCCAGTATTAGAGAGTATCAAGAAAGAAAAAAAAAAGTTAAAATCTTACGAATTGACCTTTTTAAATCCAAGAGTTTTTTCCTCCCTCCAACAATTTCATCAAAAAATCATCAACTTGTCCAATGATATTCTTAGTACTGGGTGGAATGCACAACATTAGATAGCACTAACAAAAAGAAATTAAAATTTTATTCAATATAATTTCTCATCTTGTCCGATACTTTGTATGGTAATGTAGAGAACGCACAAGACTCGGAGAAAAGAAAGATGAACTAACATGAACGATTCAACCATCCAACTATGGATACCCCTACTTGTTTTCCCTTGTTTTCTTCTACCAAATCCTGAGTGGAGCTTCTAAATTCTCTGCCTATGGCTGCAGAAATGCAATAGCTCCTCCCTTTCGATCATAAGGAACCCTCAAGCAACCAATTATATTTTCAACGTCGGGTGGATTGCTCAGCATTACAGTATAAAGAAAGAAAAGGAAGCAAAATTTTGTTCATTGTATTGTCTAGTACTGCTTACCAAACATGCGAGAAATGCACTTGCGAGATGGAAGAAAAAGAAAGATAAACTAAAATGAAAAGTTACAAACATCCAACTATGGATTCCCCCACTTGTTTGCCATTGTTTTTTTTCCTTCCAATTCTTGAATTGAGCTTCTAAATTCTCTACCTATGACTGCATAAATCCAATAGCTTCTTCCTCCCTTCAACAATTTCATCAAAAAAATCATCAAGTTGTCCATTGATATTCTCAGTACCATTTCTCAAAACTCGAAAACAACCCTTCAAAGTTTCCACTCTTTCTCTTATTCCAACTTCTGATTCCCACTCTACAGTTCCTTTTAAGCAGTTCCTCTCCAATTCTCCCCTCAGCTCATCCATGGAAATCTTGTATAGTCGAAACTCGTGTAGCATAATCCCACCCCGGCCTGTTATCTGATTGATCTCAGACGCCACCCTCTGTTGCAATCTTGCAGTGGAGATCATAAAGGATGATCCAAAGAACAAGCAGCCTTCATATCCCCATCTTGAAATATTCGACTCAGGCCAGCAGAAAACCAAGCCATAGAGTAAGATCATCAGTAAAATTGAATTCACATTTCTCATTGCATATAAAACTCCCCTGAATCCATTGAATCCATTCAGTTTTGATTCTACAGACACTCTCTCTTCAAACCTTAATGAAAGTGGCTCAATTCTTGTCTCCATTAGTGACCTGTTTTCTTCCTCCAATCCCACTGCTTCCCTTTGACATCTAGATATTGCTCGGGTAACCTGATTTTTCAGGAATTCAATAAAGAAAATCAATATATGATAAAAAAAATTACCCCAACCAATAAAAAACCTAAATATTTACTCGTGAATATGGATGATTTTAGTACTTTTTTCTTTGTTGACCACATTTAAATAAATAATTATGCCTTCTCTAATAGTGTTGAGATGATTAAACATGATATGAGAGCAACTGCGCGTGTCTAAAATAATAAATCCTGCATGCTTGCTTAAACTTTCAGACGAGATTGTTCAAGAGTCTTTGTTCACCTGACGCAAAAGCTGTGGACTTAAATGGCGATGGCTGTCGAGGGAAGAAGTTATGTTGAATCCTGCAGAGTAATAATTTTCCAGGCCTGAAATTCCAGATTTAAGAACAAGGCAAGTTTCCCAGAGCCTGGAACTTTCATCCATGTATTCATCAAGCCATTTTTCACCTACTGGCAAGTGAAGATTTTGAACCAAAAGAGTCAACTGATTGTGGAATGAACTCAAGAGGGATAAATTTCTTTGGAGGAACTGAATTGACATGAAATTATTGGAAAGGAAAATGCGTTCGAGATCATCGATTCCTCGGGTTAGGAAATTGTAGAAGCCAGTGACAGAATTTGTAGAGGAAGGATCCATCATAGGGAAGGAAGTAAATAGAGAGGGAGGGAAAATCAATCTTAGAAGCTTAGTTTTATGAGGTTGAAAAACCAGTGACAGGTTTGGTGGAGGAAGAATCCATCATAGGGAAGTAACAAGAAAGGGAAAAGGAGGAGGAAAAAGATCATCTAGAGAGTGATTTAAATTGCTGGGAGTAAAAGGAGAAGGAAAAGTATGTGAGAGAAAATCTATCTTGGAAGCTTAGTTTTCTGAGGTTGAAAAACCAGTGACAGGTTTGGTGGAGGAAGAATCCATCATAGGGAAGTAACAAGAAAGGGAAAAGGAGGAGGAAAAAGATCATCTAGAGAGTGATTTAAATTGCTGGGAGTAAAAGGACAAGGAAAAGTATGTGAGAGAAAATCTATCTTGGAAGCTTAGTTTTCTGAGGTTGAAAAGCACTGCTGGGAGCAATGATGAGTGTTTCCTACAGATGAGAAAGGATGATCGGTAATCTTCCATTTTCATTGTTAAAAGGGAAACAAAGGAAGAGCAAAGAAATAGGGGAAATCAAGAAACCAAGAAAGAAATTACCCCCACCCACCCCCTCAACAAATATTCAAGGCACAATATCTCACACCCCCAGTGGGTAAGAGATATAAACAGAGTGGGTGTGCGGACCACTCGGCATTCGAGGTGTCGTGAGTAGAGTGGTTCAATGGTCGAGATATCGTGGTTTGTGTGGACGATCTTACGATGTGTACTCCCGGAGTATTTCGCCACCCCCTACAAGCAGGCAAATTTAAGGAAATGAAATTCCAATGAACCCTCTTCCAATTTCTTCCTTTTCTGCTATGTGATTTCTTTATTAAAACTAGATTATTTAAACAATAAAGCATCAATATATGAAGAAAAAGAAAAGAAAACGCAAAACATTTTGATTGGCGATGTTTTGTTTAGGATTTTATATAGAGATCATTGGATGGTAAAATGGTTTGACTGGGATTGGGCAACACTTTGAGGACGACTATCCCTTTTGTTTTAGTGCATTCTGGATTCTAGTTTCCTCCTTTTCTTCCTCGAGCAACTGAATTTGTTCCTTTACATCCCCTCTATTCTATTGAAATTTGTGGGCTTTGTTTTCTCCTAGATATACACTCTTCTAATTCCCTTTTGTCCTTGTGTTTTTCTAAAGGGATTTGGAGAGATGGGATCCTTTGCATTTTGAAAAACGAGTCGCCCAAAACCCTAATCCTATTTCGTTTTCACGCATCTCATAGTTTTACCTCTTTTCATATTTATGTTGTAGAATTTACCCGCTTCTCTAAGTTCTTATCGTGACCAAAGTCATATGAGATTTAAAGAACACGGTTTGATCAGTGACTTTCGGCATCCATAAACATCTTATGAGTTCTTACTCTCTTAATGCATGTTTGTCAAAGAGGGGTAGATGATAATAGACAACGGTGAATAAGAGATGTAGTTAAAAATTTTATTGATTGATTATACTGTTCTGTATGGTCCAATCCTGCAACGTTCAATGTGTTGGAGATTTTTGTTAGATTTTTATCTTCTATTTTCATTTCTAGACTAAACTCTTCGTGTCTGTTTGATAGACAAATATGGAAAAGAATTACAATTCCATGTTAGTTGAAAAATAAAAACACATCAAACCTATATGAATTCGTTTTCCATGAAAACAAAGAAATCCAGCTTAAAGTCGTTATACTTTGGAATTCGATTTTCATTTCCACGTTGCAATCAAATGGTCAAAGTGGAATTCGTTTTTTTTCAGATGTGACATTTTTCATGGAATTCGTTGCAATCAAACATGACCTTCATATTTTATTTCGAAATTATAGAGTTAAAGAATGCATTACCAAAAAAGAAAAACATTTTATACGGTATCTTTGAAAAATTTGAGATTGACTAATATAGTTCATTCTCACCATTTCGTTCAATTCATAATTACGTGTACTAGAAGTTTAAGACTTTAATAAATATGAAAGAGTAACATTTTTTGACTATGCTCCTCAATATCGTATAATGTCTTTTTAATATTATCATCATTATTTTATATGGTCTTTTAACATATATAGCCCCCGTTTGACACTCATTTTTTATCTCATTCTCATTCTCATTTTTCTACAGTATTCATTTCTAACCACACATTTTTCAAATAAAATAATATTACACATAAACCCAAAAATTCTTCTTACTTTTTAACCACACATTCTTTACATCAATCACTATTCAAAAACTCATTCTTCAAAAGAATGGATGCCAAACACCCTCATAATATAAAATGTATCTTTTCGAGATGGGGATATTGGGGGACCAAGAAATCTTAATTATATGGGGTTCGATGTATTGTTTTATTTATTTGAATTTTTTTTTTTTTAATAAGAGGTTGCTCGTGGGATTTTGGAGAATGTGACATTTGAGATGATGTTTGTCTTTTGAGATAAAGTGAATTATTACTTATAAATATTAATTTAAGGCCGTTGATTTCTCTTTGCCTGCCACACAACCTACATCTAATTATAGGTTGAGATTGTCCATTTCTTTGCCCCGAATCCTGTCCTCGTTCAATTAATTTGGAATATGTGGACACAACCCATTAGGCTAGTAAACAAGGGTGCCCATAGTTGGACTTGACAGTTGATGAATCTTGATGTCAACCCTTGAAATTTTTAAATAGGATAATCAAACTGACATAATCAGTATTCAACTTCTTTAATAACGAACAATTGATTCTTTGTAAAAGATCATGGATGATAGAAAAATTGAATATATATTGTCCACTATAATTAGAGTATCGGTCTCAAATGAGAATCGTGTAAAGAAAAGACTATTTAACTCTACTGCAAGAAAAAATTCTCATCTTCGGTTTACACGTAGCTCTTGTGAGTGATTCTTGGTAAAGCCAAGTTCAAATATCTAACCGGAGGCCTTTACACAATTACGATTAAAACAGATAAAGTGCTGTGTTTCTTTGGCCCTGTTCTAATAGCTTGGGTCGAGTGAGTCCTTGTTTATATATTTTATATTTATTTGAAAAGTAGAAAAAAAAGAGGTCCATATTTTATTGTCAATCTTAATGCATGTTTGAGGGTTTCAGCGTACTGGTTTTTAACGTTTTTTAAAGTACCAATTTTTAGCGTTTATAAGCAAAAAGATTTGAGTTATTTTAGTTGCGATTTTTAAAACCATCTAACCTATGCTTGAGAATTCATTATCCATCGGTTCTGAAAGTTCTTTAAAAGTATATAATTACATATCTGTCAATTTGTAAAATTTCAGTTTATAATTTCTTATATGAATTTTTTTTTACCCATAAGTGATATTTTACTTATATGTAATTTTTTTTAACATTTAATTTAATATTTTTTTGCTTAAAAGTAAATTTTATAATTATAAGCTAATCATAAAATTAAATAATTTTAAGTGAAGTTTTTACTTATAAGTAACTTTTTTATATTTTATAAATGAATTTTTGCTTATTAGTAGTGTTTTTATTTTATAAACAATTTTTTTTATATAAAAGTGATTTTTTACTTATAAGTAATTATTTAATTACAATGTAATTTTCTTATCTTATATTTACTTATAAGTATTTTTTAATTATAATGTAATTTTTTTACTTATAAATATTTTTTTAGTTAATATATTTTTATTTACAAGTTAGATTTAAAGAAAAAAAGTTGGTTGATAATAATTATTCTATAGAGGATAAAATTAGAAAAGAATATATAAGAAACAGTCAAAATCCGTCGATTTAGTAGGTTGAAACTTGAGAGAACCAGTCAAAATTACACTACACCGATTTTAAGTATTTTTAAACAACCCAATAACATAAACAACTTTATAATTGCACCATACAGTGTCGATTTCGATCATTTCTTTTTCTTACATTTTGTATCGATATCACGTTGATTTTACATATTCGAAAAGAGGTATAATAATTCAATGTATATGCAACAAGTGATATAATATCAAGAGTCGAGACACAAATGTAATTTACCTATCACTCAAATGCTCTGTTTTGTTTAAACAAAAAATAATAAGTAGATTTGCATGTGGTGCCAGCAAATTAAGGGCCCTCCACCAAGAAAAAAGGAAAAATTAGACTACTCTCCTAATAGATGGTTGATTACATGGCTCATGATTATAATTTAGTTTCAACATGTAATCTCTCTATCTAAACAATTATATTGCATGAACATGAAAAATCGATTTCATTACGTGATTGAAATGAATGGTCACAAATAATTAGTAATAGATAACATTGCACGTTATCTAATAATATCATCTTGATGGTATTCATAGATTGCAACTATACAAAATTTAAGGATCCATTTCATTACTTGATTGAAATGAATGGTCACAAATAATTAGGAATAGATAACATTGCGCGTTATCCAATAATATCGTCTTGATGGTATTTATAGATTGCAACTATACAGAATTTAAGGATGCATGCTCTTTAAACTCTTCCCAAGAGCGTGTTTCATTTTCTTCTTAATGAACCCTAGATGGATACAACTGTATGGTCCATATTCATGAATGAAAATGATTTAATTTACTCATTGTGAATGCATAAACACAAAAGTAAAATCTTGTTGAGAGGGGTATTATTCAAAATAGAAGAATAAAAAACATAAATGTGCATACTTTAATATTGAGTCCTATATAGATTCTCGGAATATAATAATATGAAGAATGGGTCTCTCAAATTCAAGTCCCCAAAAAGTTACCGGGTCATTGCTAACCGCAATATGAATTTTCAAACGAAGTTAACTTAAGGGAAAATTCACAACTCAAGCTTTATCTATCCCAAAATTAAAAATCAATCCGACGACTATTCTTCGGTCACAGATAAAAACTTTTATAGGTCACGGATTATTTCGAAGTCACAAATTTAAAATTTTTTGGTCACAATTTTTTTATCGGTCACAAATTAAAAATTTTGTAGGTTACAAATTATTTCGAGATCACAGATCGACCAAATAAATGGTCACAGACACTTCGACCCATCAGCC